CTACAAAATGGCCAATGCCAGAGTCGAAACGGAGAGTGACACTTGGGGACCTTCCCTCGTTAGATTATCTGCGATGAATCAGTTTCTTGATATTTTCGTTAGAGAAAATTCATAAATATTTTCAGCTTTTTTTTGTTCTCTATGAGTGTGAGTGAGTGTAGTTGTATGCATGTGGATGAGTTGAAGAGAAGATATGAGTTCACTACCATAGTGGGTGTGGATGTGGATTTTCTTTCCACTTACACTCACAATTATATCTACACGCCGATACCTCACACTCACACTCTGACATTAAGCATTTAATATAACTTTGAGATGCACAATGTTAGTAAAATGTAACTGATGCCAACATTCGATTAACAAAGTCGACGTGGTGGGACTCACCAGTAGGTCCTACTATGTTTTAACTAGAAACTCAGTATAAAAACACTTGTTTTTTCTTTTTTCTAGGCAGTAGATTAAACGTAATGCATCATCTATTCTGGCTTTGCTATTGCTCGAATTATGTATTTATTACACTGCGTAAAGCTTCTCGTTGAAAAAATGAAAACCAAAAAAACTTTTCACAATTAAGACAGATTTTTAGTTCCTTTCCTGTCAGATGACTTACCTATCTAGATTGATGTTCACTGATTTTCAGATAGCAGGTAACCTAAGTCCTTTTTTCAGCCAGCGATTGGAGTGCTTGCACCTCGAATTGCTTACTGATTGCTGTCTTATATTAGATTTCAGCTTTTCAAATAGTATAACAAAGAGTAAAGATCCCGTAAGACTTACACAAAACTACAAAATGATCATTTCACTTGTGGCACAGCTTGACTTGTAAATCAGATAGCTAACTATCCGAAACACTCACATCGCTCCGTGAATTTCCGTTGTCTTTTATAAGGGATTCTTCAAACACTGTGTAAATGATTGGAAAATTTTAGTTACTTTTATACACACAAGAGAAAAGACCTCAAGATAATGTTTCGAAAAATGATACAAGAGAGAAAAATTGAAATTTTGCTTGGTTATCTCGTTCCCGCTGCGCGATAAACATTAGAGAAAAAATTATTAATCTGAGTAGATTTTTGGTTTGACATGGAAAAGCATTGTATACAAGCAAGAAAGAGAAAAAGAACGACTAGCATATACTGGAAAGGTCAACGAATGCATTTATAGAAGGTGAATACAGATGAAATGAATCTGTTCAAGCTATTTCCTAAGCAAAAAAAATCGCGTCGAATGTATGAATCGATTCGAGACTTACAGTATGCCTGATGATGTACTCGTAGTCTAGTTTCGATTACAGAGACAGTTTCTCTTTATGGTTGTTTTAAGCTTGAGTCTTCCTTATGCAAGCGTTATCGATCAATGATTTCTCTTAGCTTCAATTACTCTTTCTTCGGAGTCGTCTGTACTGACAGAGTTTAGAAATTACTGTGATAGTAGCCAGTAAAAGTGTAGTCTCGTAAGATGAAATATTTGCCTTCTACTTTAGTAAAGCGGAATTTTTCAAATAGTAATCACTCAGAATTTCTACATGTTCATCCTCAATTAATGAAGTTTTCTAAAGGAATAGCTATGAAACTTACTTTGCTTCTGAATACAATCTTTGATCATTTCGATCAGATGAGAACTATTAGGTCGATCATCCGGATTATGTGCCCAGCATTTCTCAATGACTGTATTAAAATTTGACGACTCTATCTTTTGTATTGGCAAACGTTTACCAGCACAAACTTGACGTGTAATAAGGTCTAGAGCGAAACCATCATAAGGTTTTCGATTGGTAGCTAGCTCCCAATAAACTATCGCCATGCTATAAATATCACTCTTTTCTGTGTAATCTTCAAAATTAAGTATTTCAGGAGCAGCCCCCGCTAATGTAAGAGACACTGTAGTTTTGATTTTTGTTTGGAGTGTTGTTTCACTTCGTGTTTTAGCTAAACCAAAATCACAAACTTTGACAAGATATCCTCCTTCATAGTTTCTATTTAACAAAAAGTTCGACGACTTTATGTCACGATGTAAGATCTTTGATTGATATTGATGCAAATAATTGATTCCTTTAGCTGCTTGCAAAGCAATAGATAATCGTTCAGGCCATGATATTTCCACTTCTTTCTTATGTAGTATCTTATGCAAGGATCCTAACGACATGAATTCCATAACCAATGCGTAGTTTCCCCTCTCGACGCAAGCACCATAGAAACTGACGATGTGATCGTAGCGAAGACAATTCAGAAACGAGAGCTCATTAAAAAATGTCTGTTCGCCATCTTTGTCCAAGTAGATAGGATGCAATTTTTTGACAGCAACTGTATCATCTCTAATTGACCATGTAGCCTGATAAACTGTACCAAAGCCTCCGCAACCAATTTCTTCAATGAGTTGAAGCTCTGCATCAGATATTTTTAGGAGAACATCCAGATTGACTAAAATAAAAATGACAATAATAGATATTGAGAATAACATTAGTTAAATGAATTTCCAGTAATATTGTTCCATGAAACTGGTTGGATGTATGGTTCTGATATTGTTGATGTCTGACAATTAAACAACTCTTATTTACATCGACGATATGAAAACGTAAAAGTGAGTTCTCGATTTTTACACCTTGGAATGAAGGACGGTTTATACCTCTATATGTAGGGTGACGATTTCAAATGCAGAATTTAACAATGTTCAGGTAATATTCTTTTATTTCTATTTGATATCTTTTCAGATTGTGCAATTTTAATTTTTGCTCAAAGGTTAATTCGTTTATGTTAGTTTTGTTTCATAAAGAACATGATCTAAAATCATGAACTATCATTTCACTGTAGAGTACGGATAGTCAAAAAATATCGATTAATCATATTTTTTTTTCCACTTTCGTTCAGGCTGATACATTATTATTCAGATTTTATTCTATTGTCAGTGATGCTTGAAAGTGAGCATATCTCTTCTTGAAAATGAGGAACTATTAACAGATACCTAACTTTTTCCATCAGAAGAAACTCAAAAAGTATCCATCAAAACTATAACGTGACACACCATGAAATGATTATACTAGTGAACAAAACTTTTATTCACGTTCATCATTGTCTACAATGGCTAGATAGACAGGCATACCGAAAGGCTAGAGTCTTTAGTGCTATTTACAATTCGTAAATATCGTAATTTAGAATGTTGTTCGTAATTTCATGGATCTTAGTTAAGATCTTATGTTCGTTCATGAATTCGCATAGGCCGCGTCTCCGTAAGAAAAAAGGAGGACATCAAACTTGAAAATGATTTCGAAAGTTATGAGAAATACCGAAACCATGTAGAAGTATCGAACGAATGTATACAACTTGCCTTAGGCATGACGAGAGCACAGAAGATCCATTCGAGGATTAGAGGGTTTCGAGATTTAGAATGAATAAAATGCTTAGTTTTCAATAGAGAAACTATTTCTCGTTTTTTTAACATCTGAGTTGGACCCATTTTCAAACATTAATTGAATATAGCGAGCGCCTGGTAAAGAAAGAGTTATAGGCTCGAATTCGAAAATATCTCTTTGCGATTATATCATTTTGCATTCAGCTTTTCCTAAAGAAATTTTGATTAAACCTCCATAGCAAACTCTTGATTTACTAGCAAGCAAAAGGAAACTGCCACATATTTCTATGTTCACGGATGGATGAGCATGATTTTGTCATTGTCATTTTCATAGTCGAGTTATGATAATACATCATATAAAAACACTTGAGAAGTCATATCGAGTTTTAAAACGGTTGAACGGTTGCAACGCATTCAAACTTCTTTAAATCAAGAATGGAAGAAATCATTATCAATCCTTTTCTGCTCAAAGAAGATTCGAAATTAAAAGCACATATATGTCGCTTAAAAAGATAGTTGCAGGTAGATTTTTTAAAGAAATATTTTCACGAAATTAATCCTATATTCTGATAGCGCTCGGGATTCTCTATCAAACACATATAATTGTATTTTCTCTCCCATTCATTTACTGCAGAATACTTCAAGTATTACATAGTTAACTTCCTTAGCAAACGACATCACACTGTTTTTCCGACTTTCATTGCTGCTGATTTTTATTTCGTAGTTAATATCGCTATAGGAACCATTTTTTTTGCATAAACATTTAGATGTTCTGTTAATGCTTCACATTCTCGATTATCTTGACCTTTTGAAATTAAGAATAAAAGAAACAGTTTAAGAATTTCGATTTTATTGAGTTTAACAGAAGTTTTTCCTTAATACTTGAGTGACTTTTCAACAGACACATACAAGGCAAGAAGTAACTGTATAGGATGATGAAGAATTTCAAGCACTATCAAAACTTATAATGAGCTTTCTTTATATCAGAAAAGCTAAAAGGTAACAGAAAAATGCAGTTTATTGACAGTTGTCAACAAATGAAGTATACGCTCTGTTCAAATTTTTTTTCCGAAAATGAATGCAAAACAATAGGTATATCCATAAGACGAAAGAGAATTCCAAGCACTATCAGAACTCGAGTTAATTTTATAAAAGTACATCTTTATAAGGAGAATATCTTCGGAACATCCAGTTTCCACTATTTTGCAGACGCATGAATTTTTTTTCGAAGCTCAATAGTATTAAATGTCTTTTGCGCTATATACCTATTTAGATAACTAACTCAATATCTGGCGACTAAACAGGTTCGACTCTAGACATAATAGAAGTTCTTTCTTAAAAGGCATCAAAGTAACTAGTTCGTGTATCTCTGAGAATCTTGATCTTCAACTGAATCGAAACATTTCATATGAAGTACATTGAGAGTTCGGCACGACGACTATTTCGATATATATATATCTATTTTAAAGATTCTTGAAATTTCTTTTAAAATCCACTTTTCAATTCATTGCATAGGGTAATTCAGCATTGTTTTAATGCATTTGTACGCTTTTCGAAGAACTTCTCTTGTTCGCATAAAATGAAAAATAAAGCTTCTACCAATATTGCATATGTAATATTCAAAATAAAACAAAAGGAGAAGAAAAGTTTCTGTTATTAGTTTTGTTCGAATTCCAAATATGCTACACAATTTTGGATGAAACTCTTCACTTTTGGTGCTTATTTGAAAAAAAAATCTTTAAATCGAAACTGTGAAAATATTAAAGAAATTTCTTTTTGGGACAGACCTATATCAAATACCTTCGATTTGAAACAAACTAACTGTTTTTGTCGTAACTTAAGAGTCATTTCATTTTGCTCACAATTTAAATCGACATCTTTAAGATACTAAGAATAATATGCTCAGAGATAATGCAGAACTTTAAATTGCATATATTTCTCGAATAGACAAAAAAATTACCATCGGGTGTGTAGGTGTGGGTGTGGGTGTATGGGTGTGGGTGTGAGTGTGCGTCAAGAGAAGAACCAGAGCCACATCCTACACCCAAACCCACATCCCACACCCACACCCACCCACACCCACATCCCACATCCACACCCACACCCACACCCTTCTTTTACTTGGCAACTGTAACGTCTACACCCACGCTCTAATCGTGATTGCTTTGTCAAAAACTATTTTGTCGAAAACAAAGATTACTGAAAAAATTTTCTGTTGAACACTAATACTTATTTGTTCATGTAGGGCTACGTTTTCCACTAATAGATTACATATCCGATTTCCAAACATAAGATATTCAACATGTGAATACAAATTTCGGATGTGCAGGTATCGGATGATTAACAACTTATGTAAAGTTGTAACTTGTCCTTGGCAAAATTATTGCTCATCTTTTAAATAGATCGAGTTTTTCTTATGATCCATTTTCAACGAAATGTGCATTCAGTCAAAAATTCTTTCCACAAACTATTTTTCAACACTCTTACTTTCGATGAAATGTTTTTTGAACAAAAATATACTCACCCTTTGAACGAATTACCATCGTCTCCTTTTTCCAATACTCGTCGAATGCTTTCTCCAAGTCATCTCTTTTGTATGTGGGATCTCCTTGTCCCAGCGATGGTGCATAAGCTTGCAGATAGTAATTGATTTTCTGCCACATATGGCGATCGTCTGATCTTATCACAATACCCGGTTCATGAGATTTTATAAAACAATTACTGCCAGCTTGTTGTATGAAACAATTCATAGTTTTTGATTGTTCTTCTAATTGCTCAGTCATCATTGATACTCGGCTTGTGTTCAAAGATTTTAGTTGATCGTTATGGTACAATAATTTAATACCATCTTCTCGACTCAGCCTGTTTTTCATGGATGCTATTATTGATATAAAATAATCTCTATTGTCATCTAGTTTGTCTAATGGTATTTCTCCAATGATTTTTGGAATTATTACCAAATAGTTATCTGTATGCCGATAAGTTTTATGTTTGTTCCCTTCCCCAATATTAAGATTATCGATACGAATCACGACACTCTTTTCTTCACGTATAAAATTCAGACACAATGCATGTCCTGTCCATTTAACAGGTAATGTGTACTCCTCTTTTTCTTTCATCAGCTTCAATTTATTTATAATATTATTTGCTATCGACGGATAAAATTGTTCGATTCTTTCATGAGGAATACAAGAAATGTCCATCAGTAAATTATAAGCTTCTAGATTGTGACGAAGTTCACGTAAGACATATGTATATTCCTCCCTTGATTTAATACAGGATCTTTTATTTAATTGCAAACGAACTAATTGTTGAAATAAACTACGTACCATAAGTGTGAAAAAAGCTTGATGTGTACCACCATCATTCAAGGGCCTATGTGGTAATTGTGCATTCATGTTGAAGGTAGCGGCTACCATCGTAGCTACTGCGTCAGCTCCGATAGATAGTACATGATCGTACATATTTTTCCTTAAGAAATAACTTGCACAATAATTAAATAACATTTCTTCGTCAGTCTGGTCTTCATTGTATAATTTACGACAGTAATGAAGTCGATCCTCAATCATCTTCTCACTAAGCATAGGCCGTTTTTCTAATAGATATTTAAGTATCTCGTCATTTCTGTTTTTGTAATTAACGCATAAAAAATCAATTGGGGTAGAAATAAAACATGAGTGTTGTAAGCCATCCTTCGGATGTCGTCCTTTGGTGTCAAAATCTAACTGAACGATATTGACATCCGCACCTTTTTCCACAAGTAGTTTTGCGAGTTCAAAATTATGTGACTTAGTAGAAAGGTACAATGCTGTTCCATTTGAACTCAAAGCATTTACATTTACATTTTTTGCTAACATTTCTCGGACTAAATGTATGTCTTGCTTCTTGATGGCATCAAAAAAAGACTCTTGCTTGACATGTGACATTTTATTGATACTGGTTCTTGTTTATAAATTTTAATTAGAACTCTAAATGATAGTATACTCGTCAGTGATTGCAATAGTGTGTGACAAAGATTTCTAACTGATACGATTCTTATCTAAAAAAAAGAATAAACGGTTGTATTTGAATAATGCAGATATATTTAGCTTTGCAAAAGAAATGAGCGATACCTATTTGACGAAATTTAAAGTAAGCATACTGTGACGTTCTCACCTAGAGGATCCATAGCTCTGTGGTCATATTAAAAACAGAGAAGATGTAGCTAAGAATTTCAAAAAAAAAGGTTTTTTTAAAGCAGCGAACTCCACCACTGCCGGCAGAGTAGATTAGGTCGCGGTCTACAGAGAGTTTCCACTAAATAGAATTATATGTCGCTGGCAAATAATCGACACCATGTGGTTATAGAATATATTTGTGTCTATCAGTATTTTAATCCATTCCGTAGTTAGCTTCCTTGCATGTTGTATTATCAGATTTTTAAAGCGCGCGTCATAGTACTCGGTAAATGTTTTTAAACCATTATCGTAGGAAATTCTCAAACAGAACACTGTAATATTCGTGTCCAGTATGCGTTGAAATGTTACACTTGTTTGATCAATGTTTAATTCACTTAAAGTTACGAGAATTTGCTCGATAGCTATGCCTACTAAAACTTGGTCTATGTCAATCTGAAGCACGCGTTGAAATTCTTTCATCAATTCGACATGGCTTCGAGTTGAATTTTCATGTGCAACCATCATCGGCAATGACTCGAATAGAAAATAATTGTTGAATAAGAGGACAAATAAGCAAACTTGTTACATAGTGATTCATATAACATCTCGATTTTATGCTATCGATCGAATAAAATAAAACAAACTTAATGAACAATAAATAGAAAATTTAATTTCTGGTATGTGATTTTTTTGTGACGAAACTCTCGAAACATTAGAAGATTCCTCTTCGAATAAGTGACGCAATGGGAATATTAGAAGATTCCCTCAAAAAATCTATGTTTTGAAGTAGCTTCTGCAGTTTAATGAACTTTTTAATATTAAAGTCTATAATGATTTCTGAGTACAGTACGAATAATATTTTACTTCTACCCTTATCTCGAAGTACTAGATCCGAGTGACTTAAATCTTGAGAAGCAGCTAATAGGAAACAACTGTCTATTAAAGGTTGTGTTTCGTTGTTAAAAACATATCGTGGAACATTTTAGAACTTCTTTGCAGCTTACTCAGAATACATCCTGTACAAGGTTCCCAAAAATGTTTTGCCCGGGGGATATAGCTTCAACAGCAAATGATATCAACATTGTAATCCAGACTTGGCTACTTCTTACAACAATATCGGTTTGCCGTATATTAGGATGTACTTGTACTCTAGTGCCCTTTCATCATTTGAACGATTACTTGAAATCACGAAAGTAGCTCTCCCTTCGAATTATCCGGGCTTGGCTATTTACTATTTGGAGATAGAGCTAATTTCTGGATTTCAAGTGATCGATTACACGATAAAAGAGCTTTTGAGTACTCGTCCATATAATAATACATCAAACCGATATTGTTGTGACAAAGAGCTATATCTGGATGATATTTAGTTAGATTCTTCTCTCGGATTTTCAATGATTCTTCATAATATTGTAGTGCCGTCGAGTATTCACCCATTAGCCAATTAGCCCATCCGAGGAAGAAATTGTATTCGGATAGTTGTTTATGACTAGTGGCTTTATCAAGAAGTATTTTGTATATATGTTCTGCTTTGCGACCTTCGCCGATTCTGAGCAATATAAAACCGAATAGGGACCAACCGGGACTTGCTTTTGAATGTGCTTCTTCACGTATGCTTGCTGTTAGCTTGCTAAAATCGTTATCTTGATCACCTACGAGTGTTATTTGAATTTCATAAAGACGATCAGCTTCTGGAAGTGCTTCAATATTGTCGATGCGAAAAATTGTATGTGTTGTAAATAATATTTCTGCTTCATCTTTACCACAAGTACCAACTTCACTAATATCAGCATAGAGTATTTTCAATTTTCGGCATAGTTCAGGATCAATGGTGATGACAAACAGAATACCAATAATAGACTTGAGATTCGGTTTTAAATTTTTACAGGCAAATTCAAGGGAAACCTTTCGATCTTTATTCATTGATAGAAAATTATTGAAGCACATCAGCCCTCCTTTTGCTTTCTGTATTTCGTCGAACAAGTCCAATGATAAATCTTGTCCACTATACAATGTAAAAGGTATTTTTTGTGCCTTGTTATTGCAGATTGTTGTTATTCCTTGTATAATTTTTCAATATCATTATGTAGATCACGTATAAAGAAACTCATCTTCATAATGATATCTATATCCATTTGCCGGAGACCATAGTTCAATGTTGGATACAGGAATGTTTTCTTCGAGTACCACCAGATGGGTCTATGTTTGCCATATCCGTCTATCATAAATTTAATTTCATCTGGATCAATATCATCTTCTTCACAACAATATTGAGCCAGATCTTTAATTGATTGTTGATCATCACCGTTGATCTGTAGTAGTGCTTCTTTCAACAGCTTCGTGTACATAAATAATGAGTCTAAGCCATTGAAGCTAAGAGGCACCAGGGCACGATCACACTGTTCCCGATCGTATTGGAGTGCTTCTCAGATTGACTCGATACTTGTGTGAATCCCTTTGATTTTTGCAACTTCCGCGGCCCACTCTTCATCATAGGTCTTGTTCTCAGAAAGTACGTACACATACTCCAATTGTGAGGTTTCTTCAATTTGTTTCATAATTTGTTGAACAAGATGCCCGTAAACGATCATAAAAGCCTTTTGTTTTTTAATTTCACTGAGGAAATCGAAGCATTCTTGTGCATCTGTAAATGTTGTAATGGATGCCACAATACGTCGCAATTGTAGAAAAGAATTTTTAAAATTATCATTTGTTTCATCAATATTGGTATCAAGCCAAATGAGCAAAAAGTTTTGAATTATTCGATGTGTAGGATGAGAAAATACAGACCTATTGCTTCTGGTAGGTGTAATTATCGGTGTTTCACTAGTAGCAACTCTTGTTGATTCTTTATTGTCCATAATATATGAAGAATCAAATACGAAAAGTGCGATTCTATTCTTTTCGATATGAAAAGATGTATTATGACTTGTTTCTCTTTGCAAATACTTTGTTTTTCATCGGCTTTTGTAGGAATGTGTTGGATTGTGCTTCACTTCGAGCACTTCTTATCTTTTGCGTGTTTTAAAGATGTTGATGCAAAAATGATGAGATTTCTGTGTATGAAGCGAGTAAGAAATGACAGACAGAACGAGAAAAGGTCATTGCTATGAAAAATACTTTTTTCGTTATCAAGATTTTTTTCACCCGTAAAAAATATACTCATTCTAGCACGTGAGTTTTGTTTTATTTGATTTGTTAGTATGCAGAAGTTTCGATGTGCAAACTGTTGAAAACAGGTAATAGGGTGAGCGTGGGATGTGGAAGTGTACGTGGACTTGGCAAAGACTCACACTCGACACACCCACATCCTGCAACCATCCGCACTCGCACCCAAAGATCCACACCCACACCCTAGTTCGTCTAATATCAATAGCGCCTATTATTAATATATTACAAGGTTCTTTATGAACTGTTTGTCGAATATTCCATTCAATTTTATTAAGGTCATTTTTATAAAACTTTTTATTCTAACAGCAACGAAAATTTTTTCTTTGTAATTGACAATGTCAGCAGGGAAAGACTATCGAAAATGACAGAATTGACTTTTGCAGAAAAACTGCAAAAGTAAATTCTGTATAGACTATCTTCATGATGGAATTAACTGACATTGTGCAATTGCATTGGGACTATTACATAGTGATACATATATCACGACGATTGAATGTTTTTCGTTGTTCGTATAGTATACATATAGGCTGTTTATAACTAGCGAACTATTGTTTTTTACTATACGATGACATCATTATACATTCTTTTCTTTTTATTTTCCACCTATATGATATAGGTCGAAAACAACTTGCAAAAGCGAATTCTATCATTTTCGATAGTCTTTCTTGGCTGACATTGTCAATTACAAAAAATTTCGCTGCTGCAAAAATAAAAAGTATTATGTTTCAATATTAATTCGTTCATTTACTTATATATATTATGTTTCAAAACAACTATGGCAGCATGTATGGATGCATTTCGATACTAGGTAAAGGATTATTTTCGGTATATATGCTCTTCGCCGAAAAACGCAACATCGAAAGTATTTTTTGGCCACGGAGGGCGTTGCAAAGGTGAGAGTGAGGGCAAAATGAATTGATCCTGTCATTCTTAACAAGTCTATGGAGGAATTAAAGGGCTCGCAACAGTCTACAGCATCCATTGGCTTTTCGATGAAATGCTTTTCGGCGAAGAGGCATACAACCTTATTTTCGATCTATCTCGTATAGATTGAAGTTAAAAAGAAAAGAATATATGATGATGTTATCGTATAGTAAAAACAATAGTTCGCTAGTTATAAACAGACTATATGTATACTATACGAACAATGAAAAACATTCAATCGTCGTGATATATGTGTCACTATGTAATAGTTCCAATGTAATTGCACAATGTCAGTTAATTCTATCATAAAGATAGTCTATACAGAATTTACTTTTGCAGAAAAACTGCAAAAGTGAATTCTGTCATTTTTGATAGTCTTTCTTGGTTGACATTGTCAATTACAAAAAAATTTCGCTGCTCTAAAAATAAAAAGTATTATGTTTCAATATCAAGTGGTTCATTTACTTATATATATTATATCTAAAGAAAAGTAAGACTGAAAAATGGGCACAGAAAAAACAACAGAGATGAATGTCAATAGCAGTGCACTGTTTAACTTAGTTTTACATATTTCTCAATATTTGCCCAATACAAGAATAGTAAAAAAGAAACTACGACAAATAATGACGGAAAGGTAAAAAAACAGAATAAATTATGATGATTATCATATAATAAAACCAATCAATGAAAAAGAAGCATTTGACAGCAGCATAAAAGAACTTTGATATGTGCCGTATGAAATATTCAGAAGGGTGTGGGTGTGAGTGTGGGTGCGGGTGCGTGTGAGATGTGGGTGTGGACGTGAGTGTGGGGTGTGGGTGCCGGTGGGTGTGGGTATGGGTGGGTGTGGGTATGGGTGGGTGTGGGTGTGGGTGTAAATGTGGGTGTGGGTGTGGGTGTGGATGTGAGTGTGAGTGTCTTTTCCAGTCTACATCCACACCCACACCTTTTGATCATAAAATGTTCCTTATTGCATAACACTACGTGTAGAAAGATGTATCAAGGATATTTCGTGAATTTTTATTTAGTGTCATATTGCTATCAACATCATCCTTGATAGGAGAATTAAGTATTGTTACAGAAGACATACATTCATCAGGAATAACAACAGACTATTATGTGCAAATTAGATATATATACTTTGCTAAATAAATTTTTATTCTTATA